ACCGTACCACGAAAACAGCTGCACCAATCAAAATGAAATTAGTCAGGACTGTAGATGAGTCTGACCTACACTGCTCCAGCCAACAGTTTTATGATGGACCCCATATTTGAGGAGGGGGCTCCTTTCAAAGAGGGGGTGTCAGGACATGCAAAAATGCTTATAACTCAGAAACTGTTCAACATAGAAGCTTCAGATTTCTGTTGTTGTTTCTATCCATCAGACCCACCAATCAGACCACCCGAACCACTACAATTTTGGGATGCACCTGGTAGCATGACATTTATTAGGAATCAAGATTTCTGAGTTCTGGTGCATCTGTGAGTGCAGTCATTATGTTACCACTATGCAGAGTCTAGTTAATTATACAAGTTAAAGTAAACTGCAAAGAGATTTCCTCTCAAATAAAGGCACGTTCTCCTGAAACAGCCAGGAGAATGGGTACAATCAATCTACAAATGGATCCTGTTCCTTCCTGCATGTTGACCAATAGGAGGAGCTGACCCAAGAAGCTCCACCCACCTTATTTGCACAATGAAGCAGAAATGCATAAGGTAAAGTAAAAACTGGAGACAGAAAAATGTGAAAATAACAAATTAAGACTTGTGGGGAAATATGAAAATGTAATTACAAAATTTAAGAGACAAGAAAAACAAAGAAATTGATATTTTTAAAAACAATCAATTTAAACAATATATAATTTCTTGGAACCTAGAAAAAGAAACTTGATGGTCAATGAAATTACAATACATGAGGTAACTTTCTCCCTTTCAAAATGAATTTGTGCATTTTAGGTGTATTTATTGGACCATTTATATATTTCTACATTTATTTATATTAGTAAATTTCTGTCCCCCATATCCCTCCCTCAGTAATTTAAAAATTTAAGCATAAAAAGAMAAGAAAAAATTAGGCAAATAGTGTAATTCAGGCCTGCTCAGAATAATAATAAATAAAAAAAGTCCAATGTGCAGAAAAAAACTAAGGGGAAACAAAAAGTGAGCTGTTTGAGAGTCTGTGCAGGTCTGCAGAGGGTCCCGCCAAAATAAAACCTGTTTAATCACCAGGGCAGAAAGGATGGTCTGAGGACTGGGGGGTTCTCTGCAACCAGAACTCCTACAGAACTGCCAAACTGAAGAAAACATTCTTTTGATTTGAAACAAAGAAACATAAAATGTTTTCATGTTTTCTGAGACTGAATGGGTCCGGTTCTGGTTCTGATCCTGAAASGTTTGTGAGGGTTTCCACAGCCCCGATGTATGTGTATGGGACATCATTATCTGGAAGTGATGTGTTAAAAGTATCTCATGAACAAATCAGAATCAGCACCTTGTTGGTGAGGGAGTGTGTGTGTGTGTGTGTGTGTGTGTGTGTGTG